CCTACAAAAACGTTTTTTAAAATGTTTCTAAAATTTTTTGTTACTGGATTATCGCGGATTAAATAAAAAATGAGCATTTGATCTTTAATTGCTCATAACTCCGTTAAAAATCATCGTACCGCAATTAAAAAAACAGATTCTTAAAGCTGAAACTTTGCTCTATCGAATGGTATAAATGTAGACATGATGCAAATAGATGAAAATAACGTAAAAATTAGCGATTTTTCCCTGTTTCATTTTGACCCAGAAAACAATTGTCTAGAACAACAACAAATATTTATTCTTAACGTTTTTTTGTACTTTTAAGTATCCTGCATCTAAAAAAAATTTACCGAATAACTATGAAATTTTTTTTATAGTGGCCACTATGGTTTTATGGGGCAAAACGTACAAAAAATTGTGAAGTTGCTTAATTTTAATAGTAAAAAAAGAAAAAAATGGAAAATAAAGTTTAATTAACAATAAGAATATTCTTTTTTAATGCACTGATAGTATATTATCTTTGCTAAGTGTCAAGAAGAACAAAAAAAAATTGTTTAGTCTTTTTTTACCGAGAGTTGGAAAAATACCGCTGACGTTAACATTATCCAAAGCGTATCACAAGGAGATCAGCTTTTTTCAAATTTTGGTAAAAAAGAAAAATTAAAATTTTTTTTTGAAAATTGACATTTTAAGCTTTGAAATCCTTTTTTGGATTTTAATTTCGTTCATTTTTAACGAAGTTATAGTTCTGAATTTTGCCTATTTTTAAAGAAAAGTTAAGTGTTCCTCTAATTTTTGTGAAGAGTTTATATACTTATAATTATATTGAATTTTAAATAAATGATAAAATTTATTTCTATTCAGAATGACAATATTTCTATAAAAGAAATTTCCTTCGGACGTATACCTTTTCATAGTCGTTACGTCGAGCCCGCAAGAATTAAACTTTTGGAGTACATGAATCAAATATTGCCACAACAAGCGTATCCAAGCTCAAAATGGTTGAGTGTGTCGAATGAGTCTTATGAATGGTTCAGCGCATTTCCAAAGTCAAGTTTAGCAGAATATTATACAAATCATTTGCTAGACCCGGTATTATTCTCAGAAACTTTACGTTTTATTCCAAACGATGCAGTGACGATTGAGATAGCGCCACATGACATTCTACAATACATTCTTAATGATTCCTTAGAGACAACAGTGACAAATGTCGCGTTATACAAATTCTCTCACAAATCGAATATTGAAATATTTTTACACGGAATTGGAAAACTTTATAATGCAGGATTACAGCCGCAAATCGCAAATTTATATCCAGAAGTTAAGTTTCCTGTAAGTCGTGAAGTTAAGTTTGAACTGAAGTTAAGTTTCCTGTAAGTCGTGGTACACCGATGATTTCTCATCTTATAAGGTAAATTCTGTTTAATGTAACACAAGATTCTTCAGTTATGTTCGCTATAGAAAAATAGTGGAATTTTATAAAGCAGAATATTAAATTGCATTATTTTTAACGATGATAAAAACGCAAACTAATATTCTATACATTGTTGAATTAATGACATTTTTTTGCAGATGGGATCATTCCAAAGATTGGTATACATACCGTTATATCGGACAAAAAACAATCGACAAAGGAGAAGTAATTGTCACTATTAATTTGTTAGATGAAGAATTTATATATATGAGTGGACATGTCATTAATGGAGAAAATTTATTTCCGATTATGGGATATCTTTTACTTATATGGCAGATGATCAGCTGGTTGAAAAAACAAGATTACTTCGATATACCAATTGTATTTGAAGATATCAATTTTCTACGCTCTATAATATTATCAAAACAAAGTCCTGTCGATTTAGTTCTTATGATGCAAAAAGGTAATTTATACTATAATTAAGTTATTAAACTTATTAAATTATTACCATAATTAAATTAATCATACAAATTAGATATACAAGAAAAATGAAAAATTTTTCCATAAAACACAAATAAGAGATAAGATTGTATAACATATGAATTGAGAAAAGATTTATATCCAATAAACAGGATTAGATAGCAACTAGTTAAACAGTTAAAAGTTAATTTAAAAAGTTGAAAAGTTAATAACTTTTAATTTAATTTAGTTAATTTTAAACGTATTAAACTTTAACTTAGGCCCAGTTCCACAACTTAATCTGCCATATTAAAAAATTTATAAATGGGAAAGTAGTTTAAATTGAAGGAATTTCATTATATCTATGATTAATTGGAGGATAGGAATTTAATCATTCTAGTGAGGAATTAAAAAAAAATAAATTTATAATTATTCGCTTAGATGATAGAGCCTCTCAAATTAAAAATATTAGAAAAATTACGTATCATGGAGAATAATATCAATTGATGAATTAGAAAGTATTACACCAGTTAATCCTCCTATAGTGAATAAAAAAATAAATTACGCTGATGTCCGATGTATCCAATCGGACGTCGTACATCGAACATCAGATGCAATGTGAATCTTCCATTAACGAGTTAAACTCCGGTTAAAGTAAATTGTGGAACCAAGCCTTAAACTAGTTATTTTTAAATGCATTAACATTAACTTATTAAACTAACTCTTTTTATACAAATTAAAACAATTCATCAATTAAAGTCGTGTGAAAATGGTTGATCATAATGCGAATATTTTATTTGTCGTACAACAAGTTTATCAGATGTGTCGATTCACTGTTGGATAGAGATAAACATTTAACTTTAATAAATTAATATTTTGTTAACTTAACTTTAACTGAGTTAATTTTTGTTTAAGTAATTTTTAACGTAAACTTAATTAATTTTTGGGTCATTAACTTTAAACTTAACTTATAATCAGTCAAAAAAAAAAAAATTTACCCAACCCTATCAATAAATAAATCGTTAGAACAATCTGTCAATAGAGTGACCGCAGATTTGAGCAGAAAATGCACTATTAGAACTGCGTTATAAGCTACATTCACAAGAAATCGATATCTATATTTTTACAGGTAGTAGCAAATTCGAAATAATCGAAGGAAGCAATGCTGTTGTTACTGGAACAATACGAATTCCAAATAATATTGAAGACGAAAAAATATGTACTACGTTTATTGATCGAAATGACAATGATGAAGAGGAAATGAATACGAAAGATATCTATAAAGAATTGAAGCTTCGTGGTTATCAATATACCGGCGAATTTCGTGGACTGAAAAGCGCGTCAATTAGGGGAAAGAATGGTCATATTGCCTGGACTGACAACTGGACAACATTTATGGATAACATGTTACAGATGATGATTTTAGGACTGGATTCGAGAAGTCTCTTCGTACCAACAAGAATTCGTAAAGTAGTAATCGATCCAAAATCTCATATAGAACAAATTGAAAAGCTTCCAAATGAAGAAAAACGTATGTTTACAGTAATATAAATGAGCACAATATTTAACCCGATATTATTTTTCTAAAAATATACATATAAAATATGCGCTATTGCTATTGTATTATATTGCAGAAGTCCTTGTACAAAATTATAAGCATTTAGATGCTTTGATATCCGGAGGAATTGAAATAAGCGGCGTCGTGACTACAGCTATATCTCGCCAACAAAGAGAGATCAATCCCGTTCTTGAAGAGTACAAGTTTGTTGCTCATAGGGATCTAGATATAATGTTCTTAGAAGATATAACAAGAATGTCGGTGCATCTTGCGCTCGAGTGTTACAATATGATAAACGTAAAAATAATCGAATTTGTGGAGGATAGCGATCAAGTGATGCCGGAGAATTTAAATTGTTTATTTGTGAATAAAGTTCTAGATGATTTACCGCAAATTCAATCCGATATCAAACTGGTGGCAACACACGGACGATTCAAAGATATCGCCTTGCCTAACAATGTTTCTACAATTGAATTTGATAAACTGTCAAAAAATGAAAATTGTTTGATGATCATAGGTTTCAGAATTTTAACAAAAAATAAAAACAAATTATATGAACAATTATTATCTGTCATACTGCCTGAGGGATTTCTTCTAACATTGGAAGAGTTGGATGTTAGCTATGACTACTCATGTCTGGATAAGTATGGATTAAAAGTAATTTTGGAGAAACGCACCAACGATAAGACAATTATATTATTAAGAAAAATACACGATATTAAGAATAGTCAACAGATCGTGTATATAAATAATTATGAATTCTCATGGATAGACAGGCTTAAATCATTCATGAACGTAGAAAATGAAACTACAAGGATTATAGTCGTTGCAGAAGGGGACTTCGAATGCGGACTAATCGGCCTTGTAAATTGTTTGCGAAAAGAACCGGGCGGTAAAATGATTAAAGGTGTATTTATTCAAGATAAAGATGCGCCTACTTTTTCATTGCAAGAATCATTGTACATGAGGCAACTACAGCTGGATTTACCCATCAATGTTATACGTTCCGGTAAAATTTGGGGTTCTTACAGGTATTTTCCATTACCATTACTAAAACCAAAACTCGTGCAGAGTGCTTATGTTTCTCAAATGGTATGTTAAGAAGATTCGGTATTTAGGAAAAATTATGATAATGCTTTGTGATACTTTTATTTATTGATTAAGTAATAATTTACTGTAATTTTAATAAGATTAAAATAATTCATTATGTTTATTTATTTTAGGTGCGAGGTGATTTAAGTACTCTTTGTTGGCTGCAAAACAGGATATCTTTGGTCAATAATGATGAAGAAAATCTGATAAGAATAGTCTATGCGTCCATCAATTTTAAAGACGTCATGATAGCTAGCGGTAAACTCTTTTCGACTTCCGCGGCATCTTTTGAACAAAATAATAGTTCTTTAATTGGAATAGAATTTGTTGGTTTTAATAAAAATGGACAAAGAATAATGGGAATGTGTTCAAATGGGTAAGATAGTGATACGCACACAGAATCTCAATTAATATATTTTTAGTAAATAAACTGTTAATTTTAGTAAATAAAATAATTTTTTTATATTTAAATTAAAGAAGTGTTTAATGAAGTAAAAAAATGAAAGAATTGTTATATTTCGCATGTTTTTTTTACTTTCCTATATAAAGAATATCATTCAAAATAAAAAAAACTTTATTAATGTAACTTTAATATAATAAATAATAGATTTTTTTTTTCTAAATTACTATTTTTAGTGGATTCGCAAATATTTGCGTAGCTGACAAAACACTTAGTTGGATCATACCTGACGAGTGGACAATGGAAGACGCCGCGACGGTTCCATGTGCATATAGTACATGCTATTACGCTTTGCATTTGAGAGGTAAAATGAAGAAAGGCGAGAAAGTGTTAATTCATTCTGGTACGGGAAGTGTTGGTCAGGCAGCAATTTACCTTGCACTTGACGAAGGTTGCGAAGTATTTACAACAGTTGGAAATGTCGAGAAACGACACTTTATAAGAAAAATATTTCCTTCTATTCCTGAGGATCATATCGGAAACTCTCGAGACATGAGTTTTGAACAAATGATTATCCAGAAGACGAAAGGTCGCGGAGTGGATATCGTACTGAATTCTTTAGCTGGAGAAAAACTGCAAGCATCCATCCGTTGCTTAGCAAAAAGTGGTCGTTTCCTCGAAATTGGAATGTTTGATATGATTTCTAATAATCCTTTAGAAATATCTGTATTCTCAAGAGGCATTAGTTTTTACGGTATAAAATTGGATAAATTATTTAGTGCGAAACAAGAGAACAAAGTAATATTATCGAATAAAATAATAGAAGGTATAAAGAAAAAGGCTATCAAACCGTTATGCAGAAAAGTTTTTGAAAGGGATGAAATAGAAACTGCGTTTAGATATATGACTACTGGAAAGCATATTGGCAAGGTATAATCATTTTTTAGTATATATAAAATGAAGGGAATAAGAAATTGAAATACTAAATATCTGAGTAAAAAATAGCGGGCTAATTAAGAGCCTGGCGCGGTAAATAATGTGCGAATATTTTTTTATATGTTTTTTGTTTATTATATAGATGTTTCGGTCCTAGTTTTGGACCATCTTCAGCAAATATTAATCGGTTTTTTAAAACATATGTAAAAATAACATGAAACATATATAAAAATAATTCGTGCATTATTTACCGCGTCAGGTTCTTAATTAAACCGCTGTTTTTTACTCAAATATTTAATATTAAAGCCTTTTATTTCAGACTTAAAATACTAATGTTCTTAAAAAAAAAAAATCTCGTAAAATGCACACAGTTTTCGTTTTCTTTATGTTATGTTCAATATTACATATAGGTAAATAAAAACTGTCCTCATTTTCTGTTTATTACACACACATGCTCACGCGCACCCACATCCGCACCCGAAACCGCACCAGCAACCGCACCCGCACGCACGCACGCACGCACGCACGCACGCACGCACGCACGCACGCGCGCAAATCAAACCGCTGGAATATTTCAGAGCCCTTAAGTTTAAGACAAAAATGTTTCAGACAAAAGTTGTTTGATATTGAGGAGGTCATCTGATGGTGATCTTTATTTGACCTAGGATCAAAGTCCAGAGGGTTATTTCAAAGTCAACTTTATTTTTATAAATAAAACCCCCTATTTTTTATTGTATATTCTTATAATCCTTTTTGAGACTTTTTCAAAACACTATAATAAAGAATGAATAAATAATAATATTTTTTTATTAAGTATTTTTCGAGTTATTTTATATCTTGATTTGACATATTTTGACATAAAAAATAAAATATTTCGTAAAATATTTAGTTTTCGATAATCTTACCGTAATACTTTTATACACAGAATAATGAGATGAATCAATTGGTGTAAAAAACACAAATAATTGTTTTTAAAAAATACATTATAAATAACTGCATAGTTTTTTAAAAAACGATTATTTTCTTTATATCAATTGATTTGTCTCATTACTTTGTAAAAAAGTATTACGGTATTTCTGTAGAAAAATATTACGGTAAGATTATCGAAAATTATATATATATATCAAAATATATTACAATATTGTATTAATTCAATATTATTTTCAGGTAATAATAAAAATTCATGAAAAAGATGAACCCTTGAATGCGCCTATACTTGCACATCCCCGGTATTACTGTCTGGAACACAAATGCTACATCGTTTTAGGTGGTCTAGGTGGTTTTGGTCTGGAATTAATTAATTGGTTGATTTTACGTGGTGCAAAAAATGTAATAGTGACTTCACGAACTGGGATAAAGAGCGGCAAATTGTTACAGCTGCTTCAGCTACAGATACTTTGAGATATAAAGACTGTGAATCTATATTAAAATTTGCCGAAGAACAAGGTCCTGTGGATGCAATATTTAATCTCGCAGTTGTATTGAAAGACGGCTTATTCAAGAATCAATCTCCACAAACATTTGAAGAATCTTTCATGTCAAAGGCATGGATGACAAAAAAGATGGACGAATTATCGAGAATAATTTGCACTCAACTTCGACATTTTGTCGTATTTTCTTCCGTTTCATGCGGAAGAGGTAACGTAGGCCAAACAAATTACGGAATGGCAAATTCCGTAATGGAAAGAATTTGTGAAAGAAGAATGAAAGAAGGTTTACATGGTTTGGCTATAGAGTGGGGCGCAATTGGTGAAGTTGGACTTGCCGCAGATATGCAAAAAGATGACAAAGAACTTGTTATTGGAGGTACGTTGCAACAAAGAATATCCTCTTGCTTGGACACATTAGAAGTATTTTTGCTACACGATCGATCAATCGTAAGTAGCATGATTGTTGCAGACAGAAAAAATTCTAGCCAAGCAATAAATCCACTTGAAGCGGTTACAAATATTATGGGTAAGTTTATAAGCAACTATAATATAAAAAAATTTGTGACACAACATTTATACGAACCCACTCGGCATGTAATATTTCTGATACATTGCTGCAATATTCCATTTGAAATATTACACCTTTCAACAATCTCTGAATGTTCTCTGGATACTCTCCGGATGTCCTCCGGAGAAGGTATGTTGTTAGGGACTAGTTACAAAAGGACTTTCTAAAAGATTTTAAAAATATTGCAAATGCAATATTTAAAAACACATGATGCAGGTACATTTCTAAAATATTTCGGATGCAAAGTTACAATGGAAACATAAATTAAATATTTCTGTACCATTTCCGAACATTACAATATTTCAGCAATATTACATGCCGAGTGGGAAGCAAATTTTTATTCAATAATGTTATTAAGAGTACATTATATTAATATAATAAAGTGCATTAAAGATATTACAAAAAAATGTAATATCTTTAATGCACTTCAATAATTGTTACATTGTTTTAAGATTAAGTCAAATATTATTATTTTTAAAATCACATCAAAATATTTTATTTTTAAAATAGGATTGAAAAATCTAAACATAATGACGCCAAACGTATTACTGACTGAGCTAGGTATGGATTCAATGATGGTGGTAGAAATTAAACAAACATTGGAGAAAGAATTTGATATTTTATTGACAGAACAAAATATTATAAATCTCAATCTTGCTGCACTAAGAAAAATGACAAATGCAACCGAGCAAGAAAATACGTACGATGCTACTGAAGCTGCTACAAATAATTTGGACGGTTTTAAAACATTGACACGAAAACTTAACGATACTGATTTCAGTCCAGATATTTATGTAGAACTCAATACAAAAATGAATATTGCTGGAAACAAAATATTTCTTATACCTGGAGTCGACGGATCTGCAAGCGTATATAAACGGATAGAATCGAAAATTAAATCTTTGGCGATGTGTTTGCAACACGGTGCATTTAATATGCCGAATGCTACTCGTTCAATAATGAAATCAGCAGCATATATTCTGCCTGTACGAAATTATAAGATAATCTATTTAAAATCTTTATTTAAATTGCTGTGTATTTAAACAATAATATTTGATTATACACACGCTTTTTTACATACTATCTCATATATGCTTATGTTTATTTTTTTAGTACATAATGGAGAAAATGGAAGATCAAAAAGAATTTTTAATAGTGGGTTATTCATTTGGATCCTTAATTGCCATTGAATTAGCAAGATTATTAGAAACTAAGAATTTCATTGGACGGTTAATACTTATAGATGGAGCTCCTGATTGGATGAAATTTTTGGTTGAAAAATTTTTTAATTATTCGCAATATACTTCGCAACAAGAACTACAAAATAACATTCTACTTCGTTAATTAAATATATATTTCGAATATGACAGCGAAATGGTTAGTCAATTACTAAAACCACTATTATGACTTTACTACGAAAATAGTTTACATAATTATGTTTACATACAATATATATGAAAGAGTATATAAAATATGATAATTTATTAAAGTATTTAAATCTAATTCTGAAAGTCTTATATGCACTTTAAAATAGTAAAATATCTTTAACGTAAAATATCTTTAACGTTTCATTGAATAATTAAAAATGATAATAATAACAGTACATAAGAATTATATAATATTTACAATGATTAAAATGTATTGTTTATTATTTGAGAATATATATAAAATGGGTATCATATTCAAAGAATTATTCTTGATTACAAATTATTGCTGATAATAGACAAAATAATTTAACTTACATAGTTCAAAAATAAAAAAAAAATAATTAAGCAATAGGAATACAGACATGGAGTATCTTCAGAATATGAAAATACAGTATAATCTTTCATATCACTGTCTCAATTTTAAATGTAGATTACAATTTTATTATTATTTATACAAAATACAATATTTACGTTATTTACAGGCTGCTCCAGAGCTGAATAAGTGCACTACATGGGAGGAGAAATTAGAACTACTTACTGCTCACTTTTCGAAGAAGAATGTATTAAGTGTTGAAAATCAAAAACTCTTATATACAACGATTTACGATCATATAATTGCTATACAAGATTATGATATATCTTCATTGCCACCCTTAAAATCATCTATAATACTATTAAAACCCACACTTAGGCCTATCACTTTTCCTGAAGAAGATTATGGTCTACATAAGGTAAAATTTTGATTAAAGTAACACATTTTATCATTTTTAAGATATTTCTTAAAAGAAAAATTATTTTTAGATTACTGAAAATGCAGTGCAAATTCATTACATGGAAGGTAGTCATATCACTATGATGGACAAAATAGCATCATTTATTAACGAAGCATTGTAAAATAAATAACTCTGTATCAATATTAAATGATTACTTAAAAAATATTTTTGAAGAAATTATATTGTGCATTTATGCTTTTAGTCTTTGTAAAAATCGCAAAATGGTAAAAAACTTCCCTACTCGGTCCAATCCGCTTTACCTGCATACGGTTATACGGTTATTACTGGACCTACAGCATGTTCATATATGTATATAAATAGAAGTATCTTTTATTGTGTTAAATAGTTTTAAGTACTTGTAGGAATTGAGTGGATATAACGTTCTAACACTATAATTCCGTGTATAATTCTCTATAAAAAAATCCTTGTGTACCAAAAAGTGCGTGTTCGGAGTCGAAATGTGTCGCAGATATTATTGCCGCTTTTCCGCGTGTTTGATTGGTTGTCGAGTTGCGCGGCGAGCTTTGCGATATGATGTGTTGTATTTACGCTTGCTTCACTCGTGTCGTTTGACAGTTTGACAGTTAAAAAAAATATAGTTAAAGTAAAAAAAGTTAAATATATTTAATTAATATATATAGAGAGAAAAAGGAAGAAGGAAAGACGAATGAGAGAGAAAGAGAGAGAGAGAGGGGGGAGGGGAGAGAGCGAGAGAGAGAGAGAGATAGAGAGAAAGAGATTGATTGATTGATTGATCTTTATTAGCTTTCTCAGCTATTTGTAATACAAATCTAGTTTACATTAATTACAATATACTTCTTTAACATTTGCTTAAACGGCACAATTTTTTCATTCCGCTTTATTTCAGCTGCCAAGGCGTTATACATTTTTACTCCTTCGTAAAACATACTCTTTTGCGCACTCCTTGTTCTGCGATTTTATTGCAATATCCCCAGTTTGTCGTGTTTATCTTTCACTCTCATTTCCCACTATTTCTAATCTATTTCTTAATTGCTCCGGTAACATGTTCCTTACAATTTTAAAAATAGATATACACACATTATAATATAGCCTCTGTTTTATGGACATAAACTGCAGCGCTTGCAGCATACGCTCCACTTTGATATGTCTATCACATTTCAATATGATCCTCATGGCCCGGTTTTGTGCTTTTTGCAATTTACTCAGCTGTGTTTCTCCCTATATCAATTAACAGCGTCGCACAATACTCAAAGTGAGGCGTTATAATTGTCTTATATACAATACATCTAGTGTATGCCAATATATAATTACCTATTCTATTCAAAAAACTCATTTTTTTCCCTATTTTCTTTAGCATATAATCACTGTGGTCCTTAAATCGTAGTCTATCGTCAATAAATATGCCTAGGTATTTCATTATTTCCACACGTTCAATCTCAGTTCCATCCAAACATTTCAATGTTATATTACCTCGCAGTTCTTTTCTTATACTTCTAACAATCATATATTTCGTTTTTCCTGCATTCATTTTTAACTTATTTATATTCATCCAGTCTTTTACTATAGTAAATGCTATATTCAGTTTACCCTCTAATTCCGCGCTGCTTTCTTCAGTTACATATATTAACGTATCATCTGCAAACATTTTCATACTACATCCTTTTGGACAGATTTTTATTATATCATTTATATATACTATAAATAACAAAGGTCCTAATACAGATCCTTGCGGTACTCCATATTCTGTGGTCATTAATTTAGACAATGTATTATTAAATTGAACCTGCTGTGTTCTATCCTTTAAATATGATTTTAACCATTCTATAACCATTCCTCTAATTTTATATTGATATAATTTCTCTAATAATTTTTCTCTATTTATTGTTTCAAAGGCTCGCTTAAAATCCATGAAAATTACCCCTACCATTTTTGCCTCACTAACTATCAATTTCCATTCATCAATGACTGTTTGAATGGCTGCTTCACATGAATACTGTTTTCTAAAGCCCGACTGATGTTCTGTTATAATACTGTTACGTCCGGTGGACTCCACGATTCTCTTCTTTCACGTAATATTAAACGCCTACGCTCTGGAACTCTTTGCACTATAAACAATAAACTAAAGGAATATCTAGCGGGCGAGACTAATATTTCAAAGCCTAAACCATGCGTGATAAATATTCGAACAAAGGCCCCCTAGAAGACCAAGAATTTTAAACAACAATTAAGAGATACTCGAACCGTGAGAAGGCTTGAAATCTAAACAGTGCGCATGCAAGAGACTAATAAATATATCAAATAATATTTTTTCTTGGAAGTCCTCTAGTGAAAAGGTGTGACGAGAAGAGTCTCGAATAAAGGCCCTTCTAAGAACTAGAGTGTTATCTTATTTATGTAACTATGATCCGCGACTGAAACTCGCGACATTCGACACTACGTGCTCGCCTGCTAGACCACCCTTGCGCGTTATCTGTTTAAGATAAAACTCAAGTGAACAATAAAACTGTCAACTTGGCCGATCATGGCGGACTCTCCAGTGGGCGAGACTTAATTTTTAAAAACAAAAGCCTACACCAATAGGCGCTAACTCTTGGACCTTCTTTTGGAAGGGAGACGCCCTCAACTCATGAGAGGGGCACCATTTTAAAGACTGATTCGTTAAAAAAGAATATTGCTTGCCTAATGGAGAGGGTATGCGAAGAGACGCCAAGATTCGATTTACGCGAAATCCTCCCTCAGAAAATTCAATTCATCTTCGGCTCTCGACTCGAACGGTCGCACCGAGTCTGCCTACAGTCCGCGCTGATTATTTAAGTCTTTAAAAGTTTATCGATTCTCGCAAGTTCTCTCTGCGATTGTGGTAGTGCAAGGAGTTTCACGATATTGAAATTTTACAAAATTCGTGCGGGCAAGTGACAAGTGGTGTGCCCTTGAGGGATCGAACAAACACCGCCGGAACCGAGCGATCTCCGAGCCACTCCTTCCGCACAGCCGAGTCCAGAGATAGATCTTAGCTCTCTTATCCAGCGAAATTTTTAAAGTCATCACCTTCGCACACAACAAATAGTGAGTCTACCAAAGAATTTCATTCTTTCTCTTACTTTATTTTTTTTTCT